AAGTGGATGTCCTTTTGCTCCCTGAGCAGTTCTCAAAGGAATGTTTGTTATTAGATTGCTTTTTCTGTTTAGTTTCACATCACTATGCTAATAAAGGAAACATCACACTCCAAAGGCTTTTTTATTTCTGCCACTGTAACCGGCTTATTGTTTAATTAAATCTCGGCTGTACAGTCGAGAGAACCAAACGCCAAGACTTGCGGGCGAGGGCGACCTGTGGAAATCAGGGCAGATTCCTTTTCAACATAAAGTTTCCACATATTTTTAATAGTTTAAAGGCAGCATGGGTGTCGTGTTACTGTATCTGACTGGTTTACACTTGACTCTTGCTAAATCTGCTGAATTATTCAGTACTGCTCAATGCAGTACCGTCAGCGAGCATAATAGAAAGCATATGCATAATCAGGGATTTCAATATAAACTACAAAACATACATTAAATACAGTCAGAGTTCTTGAAACTATTAGATCTTGACTTGTTTTGAAAACAGCATTAGAATATTTCTGAGCTGCATAATCAATAAGGACTCAGTCAACTGTATCCCTCAGGAAAAGACGTAATAAATTGCTAAAGGATTTTGCATGCGGATTTTCTCTCGAATTGTTTTTGTTGCCAAGAGGGGAGCAACTTGCCGCTCCCATTTTGCTGGCCAGGCTGTCCTCTCCGTCGAGAGGTTCCTGTTTTAGCGTTTAGCCAAAGATTTAAGAGAGGGGGGATTTTGGCGTTGGCAACAAAATGGGAAATGAACTTAGAAGCAACTTCCTCCGTGACCCTGGAAGCTCGAGGGCCGTGCACGCTGCGGAGCGCCGGACGGTGGCCTGCGCTGCGCCGCGAGCTCGCGTGCGGCCGCTGCCTGTATCAGAGGAGAGCAGAAGAGGGCAAGGCGCAGCCCTGGGTAGCACGGAAGGGCTGCAGGATTTCAAGCGTTGATGTAGGTAGGGCAGACCACTCTGCTGGCTTCTTTTGGACTCCTTTATTTTAGCAAGAAAAAAGGCAAAAAAAAAAATGCTGTTTTGATTGCAGCGCTGACAATTTGTTTCCTTGCTGCAGACAGCGAAAATGAAGAAAGATGAGTGTGGAGAAGGGACTGTGCTGGCGCTGGGAGGACAGGGCATAACCTTCCTTAGTGGCACATGACTGCCAGCCCAGCCTCTTGTCTTGGCTTCTTGGCTTTCCAGCTGCTGAAATGTGTGAAAGTCACCTGCAATAGCAAGGGTGATTGTATGAATTAAAATCAAGCCTAAATGCGCAAAATTCAGCAGAGACAGATAAGCAATACAGTGAATTGTTGCAGTAAGAATATCAAATGTTGGTATCAGGTACAGGCTAAACAGCAGTTTAACCAACGAGAATTGCTTAATAGAATACATTCTAGGAGAACTGGTGTGTGGAAAGTTAAACTCTTTCCATAGCAGAGTATGCAAAAGGGCATGTAAAATTAAGAGGGAAAACAGTAAGAAAAGTTGGGTCACTGTTTATCCAGGGAAAGTTGGAGCTTTTATGAAAAAATTTTGAACCTCTGCTCAGCTTCATGAACACTGAGAAGTATAGAAGAGCCAGGTACACCTGCTGTATTGAGCACAGCTGATAAATATGCTGTCTGTTCTGCACTGGAGGCTCTCTAGCCCCTTTCCCCTGTGGCCATCTGCTTTATCACTGAAGTCAATAAAAAGCCCGTAAAAAAAAACCAAAACAAAAAGGAGGCCTATGTGCTGTCAAAGTAAAGTCATTGGCGGGCATTCAGCGCAGTATAGTGCATAATGTGATCATCTTTTGGTTAGCCTTCAAAGAAACCTTTCTGTATGATCCTTTTCCATACACTGTTTACACTGAGGGTTGGACTATGCAGCCCTCATGCTGATGAACGGTTGCTTAAGACAGGTCTAATGGGAGCTGATTTTTTGATATACTGGGCAGATCCTCTGAAGTGCTTTGGTGACAGCCATTTCCTAGCCATCCTGCTTGGTATGTGTGGGGCGGAAACCAGTGCAGCTGCCTTGCATGAATGAGTGTTCAACCGTTTGGCTTGTTCCTGATTTTGTCACAAGCTCCTGCTCCTCGTCTGCGCCAACTTCTAGTGTCCTGCTTAGGGTAAGCTGGTTAGCTCCTTCCTCAAGGAAATCTAGGTGTGGGGCAAAGATCTGGCTGTTTCTTGTGTCATGGCAGTTTCTACCTTGCAACTGTGATAGTGATTTCTACCCCGCCATGCAGTGATAGTGGTGACTGGTCTGCGCTCAGAGCCAGTGATTGCAATCCCTTGGTGAGTACAGAGTGCAACAGACACTTTCTTTTCACAAAAAGCATTTCTAGAACTTGGGCTTCTGCTTATGGTTTTCACTTCGACCATCGTAAAAAAGTTTGGCCCCTAGATCTAGTGCCTGCTGATTCTGATCTGCATGGTTTCATTTACAGTCCCATGATACACTGGCTAGAGTATTCTGCCCTTTACCCTGTGTGCTCTGTCTGCATTTACATGGAGAGAAAAGTGAACAGCAAGTTCTGAAGGTTAATGTCCAGCATACATTTTCCTCCTGCATAAATTTTCTTCCAGGAAATTTCCTGCCATAAAGGGTAAAATGAGGGTGATTTTTGAGTAAGTCAAGAGCAACTTGCTTTTCTGGGAACACGTAATTTCAATATATAATTGTATCTTATATAAAGCTATAGGCATACAGAACTATGTGATTATAAGCCAGTTTGGCATTAGTAGGTATTTCATATGTACTTGCATATTAAGGAGCTATAATATTGCTGCATTTTGAGATCACCAATACAGCATGAAATATAGCTTGCTGAATGACGTTTTTTCCCCTCACTATCCTGGAAGATTTCTTTCTTTTCTGGAAACTGTCATTTAAATATATAGATACATATATTGCTGTAATTATGGGAATTGAAGACCATAGTAAAGCTGACATCTGAACACTAAAGCCCTGATACTTCAGTAGTACGTCTGTCACTATCTACTTGACTTCTATTTAGAATTTATTTTACCCAAGACTGGAAGTACAAATTGTATATCCAGCTACCTAAAAATGTGTAGGTATTTCCTGGTTAGATCATCATACGACTGCATATTTTTCCTCTAGGTCAAATAGCAGTAAAGACTACTGATTGAGCACGTTTTGATCATTCATGCTGAGCTCTGCATTTTTGTGGCTAATAGAAATATAATTGAAAGTATTTGATAGTTTTATCAGATAGATTTTATTTTTGACAGCCCATATAATTTAAAAATAGGTGACCTTGATTTATGATTAATTTAGTGGGGCTGGATTTGATCGACATCCTTCCCTGCTTTGTTTTTTTGTGGAAATTTTGCAGACTTCAGCAGAAAACATTCCTTCTTTGAGTGTTCCTTTGGTGCTTCACTTTCCCTGTCTCTTAAGTTTCATAAAGCTCTAGCTAGATAAAACAGAAAGTTACCTGTTATGGTTCATCTCATTTTGTGTTGTTAATGAGTCATTATATTTTGGCTGTTGAGGCTTCCTCAAAAGATCTGCCTGATTTCACCGATCTCCAGACACATGGTCCTTGAGATGAGCATGACTAACAGCCTTTCTGTCTTCCCCTGGAACCGTGCATTAACTCAGTATACCCACTCTTATAGTCTCATCTCTGCATATGTCTGTCTCCATTAACATTAAAGGTATTTTGTGCATAATTTATACAGTTATCAAATACTTGCAGCTACATTTCTGTTATCCCCAAGCAGGCTGTACTCAGTGCAAATTGCTGTCTAAAAACATGCACAGCTGGTAACCTTTCCTGGTATTCCTCACAGAGTAGAAACACTCCACTGCTCTGTGACAGGCAAACATATGCATTTGGTTCTTTTCTTTTTTTTCCTTGCTCATTTGAATTCTTACTGACAAGTAGCAGGCTGAGTAGCAGTAGCAATAGTAAAAACTGTTGTCGCAGATTCCCTTTGTTGCTGTTGATTTTGCTTTGTGACCTTGACAAGCCATTTTGCTTCTGTTCCTTCATTTTCCCATCCAAAAATCTCATTACCTTTAGTTTCAGGTAATAATTTTTTTAAAACTATGACTAAAAATCCGTGTAGGAGCTGGATTTTGTTACTGCGCACTCACTGTAGTAGCAGCTGTAAGGACTTCCAGTGGTCTTCCAGGAAACTCCTGTAGGCTAGTGCTGTCTAGCTTTTGGGCAGCAACGTTTGCAGTGTGGCTCCTGCTGTCTTCCCCACACCGACACATATTGGGAGAGGCTGAGAATGCCTTGGGTAGGATAATGCTAAGGAGACAGCTGCAACCTGGGATGACTTTTGGCCAGAGTGTTGCACAAAATCAAGGCGAGTTCACAAAACCCGCCTGGATGTGACTGTGTGCCACATGCTCTGGGTATCCCTGCTGGAGCACGGGGTTGGACTAGATGATCTCTAGAGGTCCCTTCCAACCTCAACCATTCTGTGATTCTGTGGTTCCCTGATGCGGTGTTTCCAGTAGCTCTGCAGACACCAAGACTTAGTACTGTTGCACGTTCGCTGTACCTAAATTTGAACAGCTATTAGAGGGAGCGAGTTTCACCATTCAGATTAGCACAGAAGGTCACCTCTTCTCAACCTAAGGCTTTAAATATGGAGACCGAGAAAATGGGGACCCTTCTGTAGCTGCCAGCTGTTTGGATGAAACCCACAGGAAGGTCCATGTGGCTTTCTGAAGAGGGGGCCCTGTTTTTAAAATGGCAGGTGCCAAACAAGGTTTTGTCTGACTTGACATCACTTTTGATGTGAAACATTGGGCAATGAAACCAAGTTAGTGAGTTTTCTACTTTACCTTCAGTGAAATAAGACTCTTAGGCCCAGGTGGCTATCATGCTCATGTTAGATAATCACTTAACAAATGTTACAAAGACAGAACTATTTCCTACATATGCATATGTAACTACCTCCATATATAAAAGTATTTATATATTTGTATATGTAAACATATATTTATAGATACAGATCTAAAACAATATATTCCTTTTTCCCCCACAGACTACATCAGCATGCATCTGTAGAGTGCGACTGTCCTCCTGGAGAAACATTGGCATAAGCCACAGAACTGCACCCTGAGTTGACAGAATAGCAAGACTTTCTCTGTATAATCTGCAGAGCAAGAACATTCTGGGAAGGAGAACAGTAAGAATCAGCAATGAAATACAGGACGGATCTAATCTAGTGAATTACCTCTCTACGTCATCGCACAATCCACGTCAAGAAGTACCTGCTGGCTTGGCAGCCTTCTCCATTCACAAATTCAGGTATCTCTTTGCTGGCCCAGAGTAATGCAACTTAATATTTACACACTGTGAGGTATTAACATGACAACCAGCAGCCGCACATGTCCAGTACCAGCAGTGAATGGACATATGAGTCACTATCCAGCAGCGCCATATCCGTTACTTTTTCCTCCGGTCATCGGTGGACTGTCACTGCCTGCTCTTCATGGACTGCAGAGTCACCCACCAAATAGTGGATGCAGCACCCCATCACCTGCAAGTAAGTGCTCAACACTGATAGCTTGATTGACGGGTTTTCTTTTTGATATTACCTTTTTGATTTTGAAATTATTTTAAGGGCAATTGCAGAGGGGGGTACTTTACTTGGGCAAAAAGTGTGCATTTGTTTTGAAGCACAGTTTCCACTTAATTTTGGTTTTATAAATGTAAACATGCAGCTGTATGAAATGCCAAAGCTTTGGGAGTCCCGAATGATAAAACATGCAACGTATTCTAGATTATTCTGCATTACCATGTTACGTGTATGTAGCCCTCCTGACAGTCTCCTGTAGAATCCCATGTTAGTAACATTAACAATGATGGTTCCTCAGGGGAGGATTCTCTTAAGTTGCACTATAATTAATATTGCTTTTGTTTTCTTTAGTTAGTACCTGCTTCCTTCCTGGCTGTCTCTGGCAGCCCAGTGGGCAGCTAATAGCCAGAAGCTGCCTGTGGCTGCAAAATAGCACTTGGGTTTATGGCTGAATTTTGTATTCAGCACTCTCACAATTTCAGCATTGTGGAGTATATTAGCTGGGCCACTTTGGTTTCTTCGCTTTATAGAAAATACGCATTTCCTGCTTGAACTTAGTTTTATATATGTCTAAATGTCTCCAAACAAAGTCCTCCTGGGTATAAACTTTGCGTAGCATCCCATAGGCAAGAGGTCTTTCTGGAGGTCTTTGCAGGGAGTCGCTGAAGGTATCTTTCTCATGTGAGGAACACTAGAACATATTCATCTCACAGGTCAGTTTGTTGCAAATATGTTTGTCTCGATATATTACTGGGACTGTTCAGGATGAAAAGGTCTCGATGGAAAAGCAAGTTTGCAGAACTGTGTTTTGTTGTATTAAACCAAACTTTTACTAATTCTGGCTTCATCTTGTGCATACACACTGTAATTGTTGAACACTGGGCAGCCTTGATCTTTTTTCCAGTATTTTATCTCTAATAAACCTTCAGTCACATGCACAAAGAGGTATAATCAGATTAGGCCTTCCTTTGCCCTGAGTGTTTAGATGTGTTGGAGGTAAAAAAGTAAATTTTTAAAGTTAGAAGGTCTCCAAGTATTTCTTAGCCTTTCTGAACCTTCAGAAATTATCTTGGTTAATTGTTAGAATACTGAACTGAATATATGTGAACACTATTGCAAGAACACTGAACACTTACAGAAATAGAGGGTTATAGAATGGGGGCTTTTTGGAGACATATGCAGATAAATACTAAAATGTATGTGATCCAATATGTTTTTTTTTTCTTTTTCGTAAGTTCTTCCTGTGAAATTAAGACTGTGCTGCAAAAGTGTGTAAAAATACTGGCTAAAATTGGCAAAGTATTGAGGAGGGTGATTTAGATGAGAATTTATTTACAGACACAGTCCTTGCAGTCTCTATTGTTTTTTGGATTTTTTGGGGGCATTTTACAAAGTAGCCATCCCATGGGCAGTGCTCAGTATGGTGATGTCCTCTATTAAAATTCCAGCTTAGACCAGATGGTGGGAAAATATAGATCTAAACTGCAAAGACTCACAGAAATCTAAATTTGGCTGAACCACTGCACTATAAGTGATTTAAGTTATTGCACTTTTTATCTGTCGTATTGCTTCTGTTTGTTCACAAGAAATGAAAATTAAATAATAGGAATACTGTGAAAAGATTCAAAGATCTCTGCTTTAATCCTTTTTTTTTAAACAATGCAGTCAAACAGCTTGTGTTCAACATTACTGTCATTCAAGCGTTTGTGTTACTTTATTGTTTTATTTTGTTCCTTCTACATTTTACATTTTGCCAGGTAACATTAGGGTTAAATTATGTCATCTTAATCTATGGTTGGGAGAGAGATCTCCAATGCTGTTAGAGCAACAGCAAGATTTTAGACATACTAATTTTGTGTGCACAAATGGGTTGCAATAAGAGTTCAGGATAGAGTGATTTAGTTTCATTGATGTTAATAATGATGTTGCCTCCATGACCTGTGACTCGGCTTCTGTTTTTATACTAAGATACTTAGTGCAAAATACTTAATAATTAGAGGGTTGGTCACAGTGCTAAAGAGGTCAGAAGATGAAAAAAATATTACTTTTACGCATACATGAACTATGCATTAGCAGTAAATGAATAAAAGAGACCACGGTCAAGGAGATCATTACTTTTATAAGTCGGATTGATTTACCTGCTGCTGTACTTACCCCACGGAGCACAAAGCAGGCATTTTCACTGCTAGGACCAAGTGGCATGCAGGTTTCTGCATTTGTATTAGTAATGAGGAATTGCTTCTATATTGAAAAAAAAGAACTAAAGAGAATTTCAGGAGATTGCCACTTAGTTCATTTAGAAACAGTATTTTCTCCTTCAGTGAGTGCATTGTGTAACAATTCGAATAGAAAAACTTAGTCTGAGCTAATGCTGTGATGCATGCTCAGCATGGCCTGGGTCAAATTACTGTAGGACCTAGAGATATTTTGGGAGCCACTAAGTAATAAAATGCTTTGGCTGGAGAGTGTTCCAGTTTTCCTAGAAGTGAGCATCCCTCTTTGGGCATCCTGGTTGGCTTGGACCGTGCTTCCAACCCATGGGCGCAGTGGGAGCAATCTCGTATTGCCCACGTGAGCCTCTGGCTCCTCAGTATTCGTGTTTACATTTGCTGCAGGCAGAAGAAGGGGAAATAACTAGGTAAGGGGACAGGGGATAGTGGTGAGCCTGATAGAAGACGGCCTTCGAATTTATGAGAGCTTAACTAAATAAATAAATGAAAACTGAGTGTGTTCTTTAGAGGGCTGTTGGGATGTCAAGGAGGAAAATCGGGAGTAAGGTCATTCATTGTATTTCAGCTAAGCTTTCCCATACTTTCCAGTTGGAGGTGTTTTAAAAATGCATTGTAAAGACTGAAGTGTTTTATATTCTGTTATGTAAGTCTTTTAGGCATCAGAAAGCATATGGAAAGTAAGATTACCTGACAATGTGGAAAAGGTAGAGAAAGAACTAGCTGTGGCATTCCTTTTGGACAGGGTTATGTGAAAACTAATTATTATATTTAGTAGCAATAGATATAATGCTGCGTCTCTGGCTTTTCAGACTTACTAAAGTCAGGCACGTTGTAGTTTTAAACATCATGTTCTGCTGAAATTGTTTTTCCGTGCGTTATTGCTAGTTGTTTACCTTGAACTCCAACTTAAAGATTTCTTGCCTTTTTTCCCTGAGAAATGGATTTTCCATAGGCATCATTAAAACAGTACAGTCGAATGGAGTTGTGTAGCGCTGTAAGATATTTTTGCCAGCCCCACCCGTAGAAGGAATTCATTTACTTTTCCAGTTCTGTTGTTAATCATTATATTGACACAGAAAGTCCTCCCAAAAGCACTCTTTGGCAGATTGCATTAAATATGAATAGCAGATATTCATTACGATGTGTTGCCCCCAAGAGAACTCTAAACTATCTGCACTACTCATGAACAGGCAAATACACTAATTCTCCAGCTATTCAAATTATTTTCAAATAGTTTAGTGTCTCTCTAATAAAAACAAGAATGTCTCTGTTTCCCTTAATTACTTAGAAGGTCAAGGGCTCCCACATCTCACTTTATTTCACAAAATGGGGAATATTTCTTTTGGAGGTTGGGATATGGTTAGTACATGATGGATTTTCTTCGCCCAGCATCGTTACTGAAGCAAGTGTCTCTTGTAATGGACTAAAAGAAGCCCATCACTCCTTGGAACTCTGCAATGGTCTAACAGTATTCCAATAGTTGCGCTGAACTAGAAGAAAGAAAATGTGAATTAACCTTTTAAAGAACTTCCATGACTTGATTATGCTGTCAGGTTTCTTCATGCCTTCTAATTTTTGTATGGTTGTCTCCATTTTTTCAATTCTGTTTCCACAGAAAGCCTTGCCCCATAGTCATTAACATATATGATTTTTTAAAGATGACTTCTAAGACTTCTTTACCTATTCTCTCTGTGTGTATTATACGTCTTTATTTAAAAGATAGAACATATGTTTGCATCTGGAAGCAAGGGGATAACCAAAATATGATTTCTTAGCCACAGCCAGTGTACTGGCAATTGTGAGGAAAAACATCCAGACAATATCACTCATGACCTTAGGAACCACCATTCCTTTCAGTTCTTCCTTTTTTATTTTCAGCTTCCTCCTCCCATTCCCTGTGTGGGTCCTTTTGTGCAGTTGAAAAGCATATCTACTTAAAGCTGCTCCGGTTAATAAAACTGTGTAATGTTGCATTTATCTGATTTTAGTTTAATATGAAAATATCAACAATTTAAATTTATTTTGGAGGTGTTTTAGAACTAATTTCTTTTTCAGTACTCTCTCTATCTAAAGGACAGGAACATCTCTCCAAGTAGCTGGTAGCTTTTTTGTAACTCTGCCCTGTCAAGGACAGGTCCTGGGCGTCACGTGAACGGGATCCTCTTCAGATTTTAGCAGGCAGCAGTCTCATCCAAAAGAAACCAGTTCTGGGTGTGTAAGAACAGGAATTTGCTTTCTGGGAGGAAGCAGACTTTAGAAATTCTGTACCTCCCTACTCTCACATGGGGAGTGAATCATGTTATTCTGGCATTTGCACTGTAGTTGCTCTCTGTCTGTCTCATAGACTTACTACAGTCTGAAAGAGCCTGAGTTTTGGGAGTCTAATAGGATCAATTGCAGCCTTGCTCCCTCCCCCTTTATGGGCCCTGAAGCAAGGAAATTCCCCAGCAAGATGCCATCTTACCTAAAGTTGAAAATATGTTTCTGTGCAGTATTGCTACCAACCTTCTCCTTCACTCTGGCCTGACAAAAAGTGAAATCCAGCAACTCCAAATTTTGCAGAAAGCTGGAAGGAGCAGGGATCTGTCTTACAGGATTTACACCATCCATTCCATCTCCACTGTGCCCTGCTCTTCCTTCTTCTAAGGACAAATGGGAGTTGGAATTTGGTGCAGCTTCATAGATTGCAGGTGAAATATGTAGTAGGTCTTTCAAAAGAAATATAATGCCTGATAA